TTTATGAATAATCTGTTAAAGATCCAAAGCTCTCCCCTTTCAAGCCTTGGACAATTACCACAAAAGAATGACACAGCCTCTTTGTTTGGAGCACTGTGCATTCTGTAGCTCTGCAAGTCGTACATACTCTGAAGCCACACCTGATGTGTGAGCTGAAAAACTAAAGGTTATTTAGGAGAGCACTTCGTTCACTGAACAGCAATTACACTTTGGAAGAGTCATCACTACAAAGTGCTTGGCACACAAGAAGTGGAATCACTGCTGGCTCACCCCAAACCTCATGTGCACACACCAACAGTCACCCTGGCTGAGCCACAGCCTTTAAAACTCCAGGGCTCAGTTTTAAGTGGGGAGCACCACCTGTGAACAGGAACAGACCGTGCCTGAAGCCTGCAGGGCTGCTGCATCCCCTCCACACCTTTCTAAGCAACTTACACCTCTGACTGGTACAAGTCCACCTGAGGGAAATTCCTTATCAACCTAAATTCTGCCCAAAGCTCTCAGGTGAGGGGGTTGAAGCATGAAGGCTCCCCAGCAGGAGAACTGGAGAGGAGATGAGCAGGCTCCCAGACCCAGCAGAGCCACCAGCTCAGCCAGAAGCAGGAGCGTGCAACAAAGCTTCAGCTCCAACTGCACTTCTGGCACCACAAACAGTAACATGGACCCCTCCCTACAGTACAAGTAGCTTTGGAAGATTGAACCAGCAAAGCAGCCCAAGTATTTAAGATTTCTTAGGAAATTCATGAGGTTAAAATATGTTGGGGACAAAGAATATAGTATTTAAGTCTGCAAACTTGCTGCCAGAGGAGATAAATGGTGACAAATCAGAAACTGAGACCATTTTCTCCCTGTTTTCCTGCCCTAGCCCACTCCCTCAGAGGGAAGAAAAAATATCTTCACTTCACTTCAAAAATAGTTGGTTTAAACTAAAAAGTAAGTCCCGTATTACATGCACTGCAGCAGATATTTTTGAAGCTGGCATTTTTGAAATGTGACATCATCTTAAAGGTGAATTACAAATGTCCAGAGGAATCAGATTTCTCCAGCTCCCAAAGACAGAGCTTGAAAGGTTCCTATATGCTCAATCCTTAAAAACAAAATAAAACAAAACCCTTCTACATATTCTATCACTTATAGCCAAATTCCTTACTTAAAACTCTGGGAATGCAGATTGAAGCAACACTCCAGGGAAAAAGGAAACATGAATACAGTTCATGCCACTCTAACCAGTATTGCTGTGAAACAAAAACAAAGCTTTCCACATGAATACCTTCACATAACTCATGCTGAAGGATACAAGAAGTCCTTTACCTGCATAAACCCTGACCAGACCTTCCCTGTACCTTCAGAACTTCCCTATACCTTGTCAAAAATGCTACAGTACCTTACCTCCAAGACAGTAAAAACTGCTATCAAACTTTTTAAGTCCTAATTTTTCAGTTTTAAATAAAAGCTAAAGCAATCTGATGATAACTAAACTGTATCACAGAGATGCAATTGAAAGAACTGTAAAATTAATAGTGGATTTTGGAACACCTTAGATCACACTAATTTTAGACTATTCTATGAAAAGATGAAAGAGGAAAATGGCAGACAAGGGTACACTGATTTCTGAGGAATCATACAATGAAGAAACATGACTAGAAAATGGTTGATTCAAGCCTGGAAGCAGAAATAGACCATGATTATTAAAAAAAATATTTGCAAGTCTTACTGCCATAGTATTGTACAGTCTGTAGGTGAAGAGACCCTTCCCCTGAATGCAAAAACACAGCTCCACCTGGAAATGCCACACCTGGTCTCCAACCTGAGTACTTCAGGAATAAAAACCTATTCTGTATCCCCTTCTCTGACTTCTGGTAGAAAAATATCTGCACACAACACCAAAGTTTAGCAAAGTTTTGAACACACCACCAACTTAGCAAAGTTTTGAACATTAAACTCTTCTAAACAATATGCAAATAGATCTATCTTAAAAAAAAAAAACACAAAAAAGCAAGGATCTGCTTATGAAAATAGAAACAATGGATTAATAGATTAAAACAGTAACAATATTACAACAATTATGGATTCAAACAAACTCTCTTCTGAACTCTAGGAAAGCATAGTTTGAAAATACCCATTACCAAAAAAGACATTTTCATTTCTTCACTATCTGACCCTAAACACAGAGGCCTGCAACATTCAGTAAGTTCTTACAAATATCTTCTGTATGATTTCTATTCAAGCAAGAGCTTTAGGCACTGCCTGCATGATCAGGGTTTAAAGCCAAAACAAAGCAGCACTTGCATGCTGACTGGAGAGCTATTTCAGGAAGAAAGCAAGCCATGAACACTGTGGAGGAAGAACTCTATTTATCACTTTTTAAAAAGTTGAAACCTCAGTTGCACAGTTATCTGTAGTGCCCTGACAGATATGGTGACATTGCTTTTGCCTCTCTGCAGCTGTCAGTTATCTAACAATTCTCTCTCATTGGTTTCAGAGCTGTCCTGAAGAACACCTCAAAGTGCCATGGAGCAGCTCTGACTCCACTCCTCTGGAATACTTAAGGGAGTGGCTTCACTGTTGGTCAGGGGTGGAAGCCCAATCTCCCAAATCAAACCATGGGCCAAGAGGAGAGAAGAGACCAGGAACATCTTTCTTCTAGCAGCTAGAACATTAAAAAAAAACCCCAAGCCCAAACCACAGAACCTCCACAGCATGCTGTCCTAATGGCAACCTCCTGTCCCAGAAATTCAAACAACATCAGTAGGATCTGGTTTATTGCAGTCCTTGGATGATTTTTGAGACAGGTGCCTTGCCCTGTGCATCAATTTTTACCCAGTACCAGCTCCAAACTTCCTCAAGTCCTAATGCATTTCCAGGTACTGATTTTTTTCCTTTCCAGACTGGTAAGCAAGTCTAGCACAGTTTCTTCAGAGTAATGGTTCAGTTGTCACAAACCTCTGTCCATTTGCCTTTTCTATGAGAATGGAGGCTGGCTCTGGAAAAGAGAGGATGCTGCAACCCACAAACTCACACCACTGCATTTGCTGGGTTTCTGTCTCCAGCACTGTCAGCTTGGCATCCTCTACAGCACTGAATTCACAAGCTAAACAGTGAACTTCCTAACTCCAGCTCTACTTTCATGTATGAGCTTATTCATACTCATGCTGGCACTGCCTCTGCCTCATTAAGGAACTGCTGACACCTCTCCTGAACTCCACACATCTTACTCCAACCTACTCCACTTGCACAGATGCTGTTTATTGGGGAGGACGTGTGCATTAAAATTTGATTTTTGTTTCTTCACGGTTCAGCTGTTCCTGCTGTTTATCTCTATCTAAAGTAACAATTAGCCAGTAGGAAAATTACTGTCGTGTCACAAACAGAGGATCACAACTTCAGGTAGGCAATCAATCAGCAGGGCACCACGAACACAGAAGAAACAGAAATGCTGCTGGGATACAAATGTCCTTGGAAATAGACAGAGGTGAGAGATGAGAAAAGGAATGACAGCCATATGATTTACAGACTTAACGCTTCTTCAAAGTGTCCCATTAAGCATGAAATATACAAAAATTTACAAAAGCACATGCCACTATTTTGAGGTTAATTTCAGAAGTTACTGTAACAATATTCTGTGACATTACAAACAACAGCTATTTCTGTGCTGTCATTTGAATTAGACTGAACATCAAATTAAAGCCAAATACATGGTATATTAAGCATGGGTTATGATTGTTACTTATTAAAATAAATTAATCAGGAAACAGTTTCTCCCTATACTGGAGAGCCAACTTAACTTTTAAAATTTGGGGTTTAACAGCCACAATGTAAGTATGAGAAGTTACACATGCCATTTAAATAAGTATATTTGTATCTCTGCAAACAGGATACAATATGGCAAACAGATGCACAGGGTAAAAAAAAAAAGGCTATGGATGAGATGAAAATCTTTGTTTTCCAGATTACTGAGCAACTGGAGGCAGAACACTTACTTCAACCTACACCACCGCTAGAGTAACTTTCATCAAAACACTCTAATGGGGAGGAACTCTCTAAACCAAAATGTGGTTGATTAACTGTTAGCAGTTAATCTCTTGCCCATCTAGTATAAAAAAGTCAAAATCAAGTAAACAGAAACATCATGTATGCAAGCACCACAGATGATTTCTTCCCAGAAAGACTGAACAGAGATAACAGTTACTGTAGTTAGGTCTACAGCATCTAAATATATATATAAATAAATAAAAATCCTGTTTTCTTTCAGAATGTGTCCCGTAAGATAAGAAATTTTGTTGGAGCAAAATTCTCGGCTACTCTAAGTAACATCCCCTCGTAAGGCACTCGACTGCTCCTTTAAAGCTGCGTGAACATCCGTGGTGAAACACAAACTTCTCCCAAGTCCCAGCGCAGCGCCAGCCGAGCTCAGAGCCGAGCCTTCCCTGCTGCCCAGGCTGCGGGGCGAGGGTCGGAGCTCCAGCAGCGGCTCCCGGGCATTCCCCGCTCCGCAGCCGAGCCCGCGGGGGCACCGCGCTCCCCGCACGACGGAACGGCGGGGGCTGAGCGGGGCCAGCCGGGCCACGGGCACAGCGGGACCAGCCCGGCACCGGCGGGGCCGAGCTCTGCCCAGAGCCGCCGGTGCCCACGGACCGCCGGGCTTGCAGGGAGACACGGCGGGAGCGTGCGAGAGTTTAGGGGGATCCTTAAAAAAATAAAAGAAGGGAAAAGAAAAGAAAAAGGGAAAACTTGAAAACAACAATGGGGCGGCTCGGAACGCGGCCGGTGGCCGCTGGCAGGGCGGGCTGCTCCCGGCGCGGCTCGGGAAGTTGCTCGGGAGCCGCCGGGGAGGCGGCGGCGGTCGGGAGCGAGGGAGGGAGCGCTGCCCCCGCGCCGGGCCCCGCGCCCCGCCGGCAGCCAGGCCGCGCCGCTCCCCTCCCGCACGCCCAAACATGGCCCCTCGCCACCAACCCGGCAACTTTCCCCCTGCCCCTCCCGCCGCCGCCCGCCCCGCTCACCTCGCATCAGGGAACAAAAACTGCAGGCGAGTAGGCTGCGCAGGACGGCCCCCATCTTCCCTCCCTCCTCGCTCTCACCGGCGGGGAGGCGGTGGCGGGGAGCAGCACCTCCGCTGCCAGTTCATGCTTCCAGGCGGGCGGGGGAGGCGGCGGGGAAGGGGAGGGCGGGAGGCGGGGAAGGGCGGCCGCGGAGATCGCCCCTCGCCGGTCCCTAGCAGGCCACCGGCCCCGGCGTGCCGCCGCGGGAGCGGGCGCTGCCTTCCATGCCGGCTGCTGCTGCCGCCGCCTCACCGCGACCGCCGCGCTTCTTCCCCCATCCACCCCTCCGCCTCCGCCGGTCGCGCACAGGCGCAGGGATACAGTTCTCCTCCTCCTTCTCCTCCTCCTCTTCCTCCTCCTCCTCCTCCCGCGCCGTGCCCGGCCGGCTCCCGGCGCAGCGCCCGCCCCCCGGCACCGCTCCCGTCGGGGAGGGCGGGAGCGGAGGGGCGGGGGCGCGCAGCTCCGCTCTCCCGGGCGGGATCGCGCACACCCCCGGCAGCTCCGCAGCCGGCAGAACCCCGGCGGGGAGCGCGGCCCGGGGGGCTTCCCCAAGGGAGGGAGGTGAGCGTGGTCACAGCACCCCCCGAGCGCAGGGACGGGGCGAGCTGGGGGGCAGCCGCATTCCAGCGGGACTACTTTGCCTCCCCTCGCCCCCTCCGCCGCCTGCGATGCGTTCAGCCCTGGCCCGGGAGGACGGGACTACTTTCTGCCACAGAGCTGCGGCGGCGTCCGACTGGCAGCACAAAGGCTTCGATCCCGATCCCAATCCCGATCCCCATCCCCATCCCGGGACGGGCCGTAATCCCGGAGCATCGCCCGGGGGGCGGCAGGCAGGCAGAATGAAGTTACGGTCCGTCCCCGCGGTGTGCGGGCTGAAAAGCGATAAATCCCGGCCTTTCCCCGAGCACAGGGAGCAGGCGTTCCTTATCAGCAGGAATTGCCGCCCGGAATGATGCGTGATTTATTTCCCAGCGATTTTGGGGTGCCCTGCGTTATCGTCCCCCTTGCTGAACTAAATGTGGTGGGCTGGGTTTGGGCTGCTGGAGCGTTACCAATAATATGAGTTTAAACGTAGTCTTTTCCCCCTCTTGCATAGTTCAGATTTTGTAATACACCCCCAATTGAAAAAAAAAAAAACAAAAAAAACTTCCCTCCTTACCTTCTTTGTTTGTTCCTAATAAACAATGTAAAATGCAACTTTCTTGCATTTCCTCTAGATGAGAAAATCTTCGTGATTTCAAGGTTTTCATTCAGTCTAGACGTCTACATCACATTCTCCCTCACAGAATGTGACAGCTGGTGAGTAGAATAATGATATGGAGCAGAACAACTTAGAGCAACATTTGAGGCACTTCCATTCCAAAATCAGTATAATTTTCAGGATTATTAGAAACTCACAGAAACATTCAACTTTTACCTTCTTATGTGTTCAACATATATTTTCATAGATTTTCTCGTTATTACAGTAGGAGATAACATCTGGGCCAGATTAAAGGCCTGGGCATTGTAGGCTGACTCTGAAGGTCTCCTGGTGTCATGTGATATTATCAGACTCTCAGCTTTTACTGGGGAAAAATTTTTAAAATAGAAGAAAACAGAAGGATTCTTTAAAATGAAGTGTATTCCCAGCCTTCAATGTTGCAAAAAACCCCAATTTTTTGAAAATGTAAACAATTCAGCTCAACAGCAATATCTGCCTGAGGCCAGGTCTACATTACAAAATTTGTCCTTGACTGTCTGCTGGGTGAAATAGCCCCCTCTGTTACTGTGCTGTCAGCTGGGAGAATTAGCAAACTCGAGCAAGATCCACGTGGATAATGGATGGGAAGACTTGCCATACGAAAAAGTACCCTGGAGAAGAGAGAACCTGTGTCCCATCATTGTTTGTCACCTCTAGATTTTGCAGGAACAGGCAAAAGAAGCACACTTTTATATTTATTTTCACAGTTTAAAAGGAAAATGAAGTTGTTGTTGATTTGGGGCTTGGGTTCTTTTTCCCCTCACGGCGTTTCCTTATACTTTTTCCATACTCACAGTGTTGCACAATCTGTCATTAACCTCTTGAGAAGTATGGCAGATCTGTAATGAATTCTTTGTATCTTAATCATACAGTGCACAGCTGGGGAAAACCTCAAGCCTGCACCCCTGCATCACAAACCCACATTTCTCCACATGCCATTCCCTCTCACATCTTATCTGTTTCTGCTGGAAGCACTCTGGTGCCTTGACTATCTCCCTTGGGAGCCTGATCCCCTGCCTGGTTGCTCTGACTCTTCAAGGCATCTTCCCTGCTGCCCAAGCTGACTGGTTTTATTTTTAGCTTTTGAACATTTATATGCTATCACTGGTGCATTTTGCCATTTTTCTATAATTCAAACACTTTCCTACTTGGATTTCCTCTAAGCCAGTTAATGATTATTGGCTTCACCTCCCTCAGCCTAGCCCCTTTCCCCACAGCCTAGAATCCTCCTCTGTCTCTTCCAGCCCAACTATCATAAAATCATAGAATCACAGAATGGTTTGGATTGGAAGGGACCTTTAAGAACATCTAGTTCCAGCCCCCTGCCATGGGCAGGAATACCTTTACTGTCCCAGGTTGCTCCCAAGTCTAAGTCCAACCTGGCCTTGGGCACTTCCAGGGATGGGGCAGCCACAGCTTCTCTGGGCAGCCTGTGCCAGGGCCTCACCATCCTCACAGAGGAGATTTTCCTGATGTTTGGCCTAGATCTGCCCTGTTTCAGTTTGAAGCCACTTGCCCTTGTCCTATCACAGTGTGTTCTTGTAAATAGTCCCTCTTCATCTTTCTTATAGGCTCCCTGCAGGTACTGGAAGGTGCCATTTGTGTCACTGTCATGGTTTAGGAATGGTGCTCCCACCAAGACTTTCCAACCCATGCACTGTCACTCACTCCCCCAAATCCTTTCTCCCCTCTGCAGCAGGATGGAGAGGAGAATTTGAGGCACAAAAAGCAAAGATCATGGGTTGGGATAAGAGCAATTCACTGGAAAGAATGATGAGATAAGGAAATGAACAGTAACAGCACTCTAGTAATGACAGAGAGTACAAAGAAGAAACATTCTTGCTCACTGCAGCAGCCCCAACAACAGACAATAAATTTTCCCCTCTGGTTCAGAACCTGGGCCTCCCCACTTCTCTATTCAACTTAGTTACTCCACCAAGTAGGAGTTACTCCACTAAGTAGGAAGGAGCCCCTTCTCCTCAGAAGAGTTCCCTTCCCCTCACCCCCAGCACTGACAGAAGGTGTTAGGATAACTTCCATGTCCCTGCCATGTCCTCTCCTGGCTACTACAAAAATGAACCCTCTTGGGTGGGAGCAGGACAGTCACCCTGAAGCCTTCTCTTTTCCAGGATGAACATTCCCAGTTCTCCCAGCCTTTCCTCACAGCAGAGCTGCTCCATCCCTTTATTCATCTTGGACTCATTCCAACAGGCTGATGTCTTTCCTGTGCTGGGACTCCACTTCCCATGGGCCACTTCTGGGGCTCATCCAGGTCCCTCTGGACTGGCCTGTCCTTCAGGTGTGTCCCTGCACCCTCAGCTTGGTGACATCTGCAAACCTGCTCAGAGTGCACTCAATCCCTACATCTGTTATTAATGAAGATATTTGAAGAACTCTGGTCCAATGGGGACTCCTGAGGGACACCACTTGTCACTGAGGTACATCAGGACTCTGAGCCATTGATCACTAGCCCTGCAAAAATGGCCTTTTTTGAACCCTTTTCCCCATCAGTGCTTAGGGTTCAAGACCAAATCTATCTCCTAAATGTTTGTCAGCTTTACTTCTAATTCATCCATAAACTTTATAGCAGAGGCTTTTACAAAGTAAAATAGGAAGCAAGATTACCACTCACAAAAAAGCCTCTAACCTCACCAATCTCTGAGGTGATTATATTCCTTTATTTAAGCTTAAAGTCAAAGTAACTGAAGAGGAAATGTCTCTTATTTTAGTAAGAAGCTCCCCTTGTTGGTTGCAGTTATTTTCATTCACCTTGGAAAGAGAAACCTTAGTTTGCTGGCTCAAATCCAGCTGAGGCTGAGAAATCTGGACAGCTCTTACCTATGAACTTGGATGGTGGCTCGATGACACAAGAGTTTTCATGGGATTATTTTTAAACTTGGGCAAGTTCCCTGGTTTAGTTGGTGGCCCAGCTTCACGAGGAGTTGTGTCAGCTCCCAGGACAGCAAGGGACAGCAGCCAGAGCTCATGAAACCAGAAGGGACTGCCAAAGTCCCTCTGCTTTTGAGCTGTGCCCTGAGTTTGAGTGGAGTCAGTGGGATCTTCTGTAGAACCAGAACCAAAGTCCCTAATGAGCAAAAGCTGTTAGAAGAAGATGGATGCTCAGCAATTGAATTTGTAGCTGCCCACATCACAGAAGCCACTATCATAATTAGCTTTCTCACAGAATGTTTCCACAAGAATTAATGGGCATAGCGTGCTGAAATGCTGCTCCCTCTGAAGGCAATGGTGAAGTTCTCACTGATTTCAAAAGGGCCAGGGTTTCATAACTCATGAAACTCATGCTCAAGCCCTCATGCCCACAGCAGGAAAGTCTGCAGCACAGGAGCTGGGGAAATGGGATGTAATGTTGCTATCCAATGATGCCTCTTAAAGCATTTCACAGAATAAAATAGGACACCTTGAATTGTGACATCATCGTCATCATCTTGCCACATTGCTTAGGTCATACAATTTGTAAAGAAAAATGTTTAATCCAAGTTTTCCTCAAAACAAAGTTAGTTGTAATAAATGTGATAGAAATGTTTATCCTATTCCAAAAGTGCAATGGGTTCACCATGGCGTTCCTTCTTCAGGATCAGATCATAGAATAATAAAGAATTTCTTCCTTGCAGTTGGAAGCCATTCTCCCTTGTCCTACCACTAATGCCCTAGTAAAAAGCCCCTCTCCATCTGTAAGCCCCCTTCAAGCTCTAGAAGGCTTGAAGCCTCCTCTTCTCCAGGCTGAACAACCTCAGCTCTCTCATTTATGGCTCCAGCCCCGAGCTCGTCCTTGTGCCTCCCCTCTGGATCCAGCAGGTCCACATCCCT